GTTAAACATAGCATCTCAGCCTGCCAAGCAGCTTAGCCATGAAGGCCCATGATCCAACTTTGAAAATCCTTGCTTTAAGATATGGAAAGAGGAAACTGCATACTAAATTTCTCTCTTACCATTTAGGAGGAGCTCTTGAACAAGAGGACTCTTAGAAATGTGTGTCTATATTTCTCTAATACATACAAGTTGAGCCTCTCTAGTCTGGCACAATTGGTACCTGACCAATGCTGATGAAGAGATTTGCTGAACCACAGGTCAACATTGTTTAGCAGCATTACCAACACTTCCACAGTTTCTTAGGCTCTTAGAAGACATTTAGGGGAGTATATTACAGTTGAACAAGCACACTTAACACTCAGAGCCAGGACTGATGCCTGTAAGCAAACTTTATGGAACGGCAGGAAACTTGGCCACAACCATTATAAATGAACATCCAGCTAACTGAAATCTGATGTAAGCATGAAGTGGACAGTCAGTACAGGTATGTCATAGGAAAGGAATACAATTAGCAGATGCCTTGGTAAATGATTAAAAAGGAGGTGTTACATCAAAGAAACATAGGGGTATATGTTCAGGGCACCTATGAATGGTACAGCAGAAAGCCACGTCCCCTCTTTCTTATAGCTTACCTTCTCTCTCAAATGTGGGAGGGGGTCGAGGATCAAGTCTTGGCAGCAGGTTGGCAGGGCACTAGGATGGAAGGGGGAGCAGCAGAAGACCCTCAGGCAGCTATTGAATTAACATGTGGATTACCTGAACTGTACAGGCAGTCCCCGACTAACGCGGATCCGACTTATGTTGGATCCGCACTTACGAACGGGGCTTTTCACTTACAAACGGGACCCGCCTAGCAGACCAGGGACACCCGAGCAAAGCTGCCCAGGCGGTGGCTTTGCTCGGGTGTCCCTGGTCTGCTAGGCGGGTCCCGTTTGTAAGTGAAAAGCCCCGTTCGTAAGTGCGGATCCAACATAAGTCGGATCCGCGTAAGTCGGGGACTGCCTGTACAGTTCAGGTAATCCACATGTTAATTCAATAGCTGCCTGAGGGTCTTCTGCTGCTCCCCCTTCCATCCTAGTGCCCTGCCAACCTGCTGCCAAGACTTGATCCTCGACCCCCTCCCACATTTGAGAGAGAGAAGGTAAGCTATAAGAAAGAGGGGACGTGGCTTTCTGCTGTACCATTCATAGGTGCCCTGAACATATACCCCTATGTTTCTTTGATGTAACACCTCCTTTTTAATCATTTACCAAGGCATCTGCTAATTGTATTCCTTTCCTATGACATACCTGTACTGACTGTCCACTTCATGCTTACATCAGATTTCAGTTAGCTGGATGTTCATTTATAATGGTTGTGGCCAAGTTTCCTGCCGTTCCATAAAGTTTGCTTACAGGCATCAGTCCTGGCTCTGAGTGTTAAGTGTGCTTGTTCAACTGTAATATACTCCCCTAAATGTCTTCTAAGAGCCTAAGAAACTGTGGAAGTGTTGGTAATGCTGCTAAACAATGTTGACCTGTGGTTCAGCAAATCTCTTCATCAGCATTGGTCAGGTACCAATTGTGCCAGACTAGAGAGGCTCAACTTGTATGTATTAGAGAAATATAGACACACATTTCTAAGAGTCCTCTTGTTCAAGAGCTCCTCCTAAATGGTAAGAGAGAAATTTAGTATGCAGTTTCCTCTTTCCATATCTTAAAGCAAGGATTTTCAAAGTTGGATCATGGGCCTTCATGGCTAAGCTGCTTGGCAGGCTGAGATGCTATGTTTAACTAAATGTCCATAGGCATGGAGCCTCACAGCTGCCCTTGGCTGGTTCCAGCCAAGAGAAGTCCTGATAAGTGGTGGCCTGGACCACGCTACTTCCCAGAGCTCCCCTTGCTTGGAAACGGTGAAGCACAGCCAAGGGGAGCTTATCTGCCAATCTGTCCCAGACAGAGGCCTCATTGTAACTATGGATGTTAACACGGGGAGAGGAGTCCCAGTGGGAGGCGCGTGCTGGGCTTCCCTCCTTTGGGGTGGGGGGAGAGGAGTTATGAGTCCCCAAAGGAGGCACACGCCAGAGCTTCCCTCCTCTGCGGAGGAGGAGTCCCAGTGGGACGTGCGCACTGGGACATCTCTCCACTGCAGGGGATGGGGGAGGAGTGGCGGGGGGGAGAAACATGCAGTAGGGCTTACTTCCTCCACGGGAGGGGGGAGGTGTATGACGGGGCTTCCTTCTTCCACGACGGGGGAGGGGGAGATCGGACCCAAGGGGGCATGTGCACAGGCTTCCCTGCTCCA